ACAGGCAAACAGGACAGCAGTTGGATTTTGATGTGGCTGTTTATGCTCAAGTAAATGCTGCTTCCTGAAAGGGCTGGAATAAACTTTCACAAACAGATAGACAAGTGGAGGATTTGTCTAAAATCTTTCAGGGACCTGATAAATTATTTCAAGATTTTGTAGCAAGATTAATGCAAGCAGCAAGCAGACTTGAAGGTGCTACAGATTCTGGATTATTAGTAGTAAAACAAGTGGCCTATGAAAAATGCTAACAGTGCCTGTCAAGTGGCTTTTAGGAAGAAAGGAAATATTTCTGACTATATTAGGTTATTTTCTGACATTGGGCTGTCTTATTCTGCCGCCTGATGAGGGAAGACTATTAAAGAAGTATTATTTCAACAACAGAAAGGCCCAAAGAATGGAGTATCTGGAAGTTGTTATGGTTGTGGGCAAATGGGACATCAAAGAAAAAGTTGTCCTAATGCTGGTAAGAAAGAAGGGAGTCAAAAGGAACCTGGTCTATGTAAAAGAGATGTAAAAGAGAAAATCATTGGGCTAATGAATGTAAGTCTAAAAGAGATGCTGCAGGAAACCCTTTAATGCAGGGAAACTGGAAAAGGGGCCAGCCTCAGGCCCTCCAATGTTTGGAGTGCTACAGAACTTTGTCCCTCAGCAGGGAAAGCCATTCAGGACCTCTGCAGAGCAACCACAGGGAGCGTAGGACTGGACCTCAATTCCTCCACCTACACAGTATTAATTCCTGAAATGGGGATACAGGCCCTACCTACAAGAGTTTATGGTCCATTACCTAGGGGTGCTATGGGATTATTACTAGGAAGAAGTAATGCAGAGAATTTTAGTAGCTCCTGGGGTAATTGATGTGGATTATGAAAGGGAAATAAAAATTATGACACTCTCCAAATGGAATTTCTGTAATAAAACAAGTCAATGATTAGCCCAATTAATATTGCTTCCCCAAGTTCAGACAAAAATGCAAGTAAGAAGGATAGGAGAGAAGAACAGGTTTTAGATCCTCTGATACTTATTGGATACAAGCTATTGGTTCCAATCAGCTTGAACTAGTGTTACAAATTAATGGAAGAAAATTTACAGGGTTATTGGATACAGGAGCTGATGTCTGTCTTAACTGTTGATCAATGGCCTATGCATTGGCCTAAACAATCTCTATTAAACAATTACAAGGGATAGGACAAAGCCAATGTCCTGAGCAAAGTAGTGATGAATTAACTTGGAAGGATGAGGAAGGACATGAGGGAATCTTTAAACCATATATTGTTCCTGGCCTTCCTGTTAATCTGTAGGGTAGAGATGTGATGAGTAACTCGGGAGTGTATCTTTATAGTCCTAGTAATATAGTTACCAATCAGATGCTTAATCAAGGATATTTACCAAATTCAGGATTAGGAAAATTTGGAAAAGGAGTAGCTCAGCCACTAATACCTGCCCCAAGAAATTTTAAAAGGGGGTTGGGTCATTTGAGGGGAGGTCACTGAACGACCTGTACCCCATGCAGATCCAGTAACATGGAAAGCAGATATTCCTGTGTGGGTGGATCAGTGGCCTCTTTCCCTTGAGAAAATTAAAGTCGCCCAGCAGTTAGTACTGGAACAGCTTGATAGTGGCCATATTGCTTCATCAAACTCACCTTGGAACGCCCCTATTTTTGTTATAAAAAAAGAAATCAGAAAAATGGAGACTTTTACAAGATCTCAAAAAAGTAAACGAGATCATGGAGTTAAGGGGGGGTCTTGCAACCTGGATTACTTACCCCTTATTTTATTCCTAGAGATACTTTTAAGATTATACTAGATTTGAAAGGTTGTTTTTATACTATCCCTCTTGCTCCTCAAGACTGTAAAAGATTTGCTTTTAGCATGCTATCAGTAAATTTTAAAGAACCTGTGAAGACATATCATTGGCTTGTATTACCTGAAGGTATAGCAAATAGTCCAACCTTATGTCAAAAATTTGTGGCACAAGCTGTTTTTAAAACTAGACAAGCATATTCTTCTGTGTATATTATTCATTATATGGATGACATTTTATTGGCTCATAATAATGAAGGGATTTTATTAAGTGCTTTTGCACATTTACAGCAAGCTTTGAAGGATCAAGGTTTAGTAGTTGCACCAGAAAAAGTACAGATAGAGCCACCTTGTTTGTATTTGGGACATAAATTATACCCTCAGACTATTATTCCTCAGAAAATTCAATTAAAGAGAGACAACCTAAAAACTTTAAATGATTTTCAAAAGTTGTTAGGTGATATAAATTGGCTTAGACCCCATTTGAAGTAAACTACAGGAGAGCTGAAATCACTTTTTGACATTTTAAAAGGAGAGGCTGATCCTTTGTCAAAAAGGGAACTTACCAAAGAAGCTCAGGATGCTTTGCAAAAGATAGAATTAATTAGCTACTGAAAGACATGTTCACTATAGAGATTATTCAAAAGAATGGGGTGCATATGTTTTGGCTATTGTTCATACTCCAACTGTTGTATTGTGGCAAGAAGGACCATTATTATGGTTGCACTTGCCTGTTTCTCCTGTGCGAGTTCTAACACCATATTATGAAGCGGTGGCTAGTTTAGTTCAAATGGCTCGCATAGAATCTTGCAAGTATTTTGGTAGAGAGCCCTCCTTAATTGGAGTCCCTTTTACCAAACCACAAGTAGACTGGTTATTTCAAAATGCAGATTGTTGGGCCATAGCTTTTGGTCATTATTTAGGATGTATTGACAATCATTATCCAAAAGATAAATTACTTCAATTTGTCAATGAGTATGTATTCCCTAAAATAATTAAACAAGAGCCATTACCTCAAGTTCCAACAGTATTCACAGATGGATCTTCAAATGGAAAAGCTGTCTATATATGTACTGCAGGACAAACTTTTGTTTTACAAACACTGCCAGCCTCAGCTCAAGTTGTAAAATTATGAGCTGTAGCTGCAGTCTTTAAAAATATGGCTTCTACCCCTTTCAACTTGTACACTGATGGCTGTTATATTGCTAAGGCTTTGCAAGTCCTAGAGACTGTAACATATGTTGACACAGGCAATAAACAAGTACAAGATCTATTTAGAGAGATATAACAAAATATCCAGAGTCGTGTGCAGTCTTGTTATATAAGGGCATATTAGATGTCATCCAGGACTTCTGGGCCTCTAACATTAGGGAATGATTTAGCAGATAAGCCACATGCTTGGTTGGATTAACTCAGCAAGAATTGGCTCAACAATCTCATGCTTTACATCATCAAAAAGTCAGAGCGTAAGAAAGCAATTTAATATTACCAAAGAAGCTGCTAGACAAAATGTAAGAGATTATGTCCTTCTTGTCCTTAACATTTTAATGTATCTCAATCCAATCATTTGTGGCAAATAGACATAACTCATATCCCAGAATTTGGAAAACTAAAATATGTTCATGTAACAACTGATACTTTTTCAGGATTTATCATGGCAATTCCCTTAGCAGGAGAAGCCACCAAACTTGTTATAAGTCATTGCTTAAAATTGTTTTGCTACAATTGGTATTCCTTCCATTGTAAAGACTGATAATGGTACTGCATATATTAGTCATGCTTTTCAGTGTTTTGTGCACAAATGAATATAAATCATAAAACAGGTGTTCCATATACTCTTCAAGGTCAAGGAATTATGGAGCGTGCCCATGGATCTCTTAAGAGCCAATTGCAAAAAATTAAAAAGGGCAAGTTATAGCCCCAAACACCACAGAATTACATTAACCATGCTCTTTTTATTTTAAATATTTTTGAATGTGGATATACAAGGCTGTTCTGTGGCTGATCGATTGTGGCACCCTAATGCCAAAAATAATCATTCCCAAGTAAAATGGAAAGATCCATCACTGGAATGTGGCAGGGCCCCAACCCTGTATTAATATGGGGAAGAGGGCATGTTTGTGTTTTTTCACAGGACTCAGAAGGAGCCAGGTGGATCCCAGAAAGGCTGGTACAAATTGCAGGAGTTTTTCCCCCGGGAGGAGGATGTTCCTGCTGCTGACCATAGTGAATTCTGTCCTGATGGTGAACAGAGAGCTGTATTGAGCTTATGCTCCTGACCCACATTTGTTTCATTCTGCTCCTGGGAGAAGATGTTGTGCAGAGAAACCTCTTACATACAATGTGACTGTCCTTGATTGATCTGGTAATCAGGACAATTCTCAGCAAAATCAGGAAGCATGGGAAAAAGGACTGACTATGGGACTTTGGTCTGATTCTGGTTCTCAGCAGACCTATATTTGGAAGCTTGCCACAGAAACTCTTGGGAGGCCCTGTAACTGCCTATGTATATTCTCCTTATGCTTTGTTTGGAAATGTTAATGTTTTAATACAAGATTCAAACTTTAATGTTTCTTGCCACCAATGTAAACTAACTAAGCTTTCAAATGGGCAATAAGGTCTGATTGTTTGACGGCATTTTATTATGGTTCCTATGAATGTTTCTCAGGCTTGGTGTTTGGATAAGGGGTCATCTTTTAAGTCACTTTTATGGAGTGTTATAGGACTTGGCTCATTACTCTTATTAGGAGCATGTCTCCTACCAGTGATAATTAAAACCTTCATCAAGGCCTTTTAGAATGTTAAAGCTGATCTTCATAAGATTAAACCCTAGCAGAGGTTGGTAGTCAAGGACAGGTAAGATCTCTCTGAAGAATTTTCAATCTAAGACAGGGTATGAAGGAAGGAATTCATGTACCAATGATGGGTATATATATCTTTCAAGAGAGACAACCTGGGCAAGTTGTGGGCAGCGGTGTGGCCATGGGAGGAGCTGCTCCTCCACGCCTACCACCCCATCCCAGTCAGGTCCAGGCCCAGCACCAGCTGAACTCAAAGTTTGCGGCCACAGCAGGGTGAATGACAGCCATATTTGCTGGCATGGCCCAAGTCAGCAACAACAAAAAGTGTGTGGGCACCCGGGGGAGTTCAGACAGGCACCCCCCCAGCCTGGGCCTTGGCCTTGCTGCCACTACCACCATGCTTGTGGCCTTGCCTGGCTTTGCCCAGCGGGTGCACTTGCCACCCTCAGGGATGTCGTACAAACCAAATTTGACCGTGCACATGCCCGTCACTGCCCTCAATGCCAGAAATGTCCACTCACCATCTACCAGCAGGGTAACCTCCACTCAATATCGTCAGCTGTTGAGTGACTATTGGCCTCCATCAATAGGCTCCATCCAGGGAACTGGAAATAGCCAGGTTCCCCAGAGTAAACATGCAGAACTGCTGGCCATCATTGAAGGGTTGGGGAAAGAGATCAGACCCATGTATGCAGGGAGCAAGAGCGGTGTGGAGAGACTAAAACGAGGCATCATTCATGCCCGAAGCCTAGTTTGGGAGTGTTTAGCTGAAATGGAACATAATGCCAGGTCCTTGCCCTGGCCAGTCAGAAGGCCCATCTTGCTACTCCATGGAGATGAGAGGCTTCATTCAAAATGGCAGTAGTTCTTCTACGGCAATCATTAAGCTCTGGACGCACACTCAAAAGATTGGGAAGACATTTTGCAGTTTCTGACCATGTGCATTTTAAGTAGCTAGGAATGGCTCAGCTCTTTTCTTTCCAAGCATTTGAAAGATGTTTGTAAAGCCACTTCAGAGCTAGAGTTAGCTATTGTTTGCCCCCAAATACCAGTGTCCTCTTTAATTTCCCTTTGAATATATTTTCCATCTGCATCACCCCAGTTGACTTCCTTCCCATGAGCTCACCTGCCTCTGAGGACTTGCGTGCACACCACAGCACGTTTGCTTAGCGGCTGGCCTTCCTGTGTACAGGGTAGACCCTGCTTCATGGAGCTTCTCCGCTTAAGTATCTGCATGACTGAGTGCTTTGAAGTCAATCTTAAAAATGCACAAGTTATAAATACAGAAGAAAGAGCGATTTACCCAATCTTCCACATGCCGGGCAAATGTCCATCCAGAGAGTATAGATCTCGGTTCCATGTTTACTGTGAGCCAATCACAACATCTGGAAGAAAATGACTAAAACTGTTGCATCTTTGTATTTATTGCTTGGTGTAATAAAGCTTATTTTCATTAAAGAGAGAGAAAGAGAGAGAGAACCTAGACAGGAACAATCTTCTGCTCCTTAGCTCTTAAGTTATGGTCAATTTTTAAAATATAAAAAAGGGAGACCTATGGAGAACCGCTGGTTTATTAGGCTGCTTTGTCATTGAGCTCTCAGCAGAGAGACATGTTTTCACCCTGGCCTTCACCTGGAGTCAGTGATAAGGAGGATGTTTTGCCAAGTCTACCTCTTTGTTTGAGACAGCAAGCGGGATGTCTTGTCAAGTTCACACCTTTTGTTTGTGTGAGGATCACACAGGTAGTCGAGGTAAACAAGTTTGACTTCTCCATGAACTTCCCCATTCATTGTACTGAGAAGCTCTGTTCTGATTATGAAAAAAGATTATTGGAATAAACCAGGACAATTGGTCGCTACTGGAAGCCCTCTCGCACATATCCCATGTGTAGTGTGTTGGTTTATTAATTTTCTTTCAATCCTCACTCCTGACTCAAGAGCTGCTCGACTCTGCCAGCAGGCTCTGGCATTCAGCGAACCTTCCTCCTTTGCCCTAGAGAGAACAACATTTAAAACACACTGGGCAGGAGTGTGGCTACAGGAGGGGCAGGCTGATCTTTAAAAGTCTACACAGAGCTGAAATGACATAGCTATGAAACTCAGTTCATTTCCTCATAACTTAAGAATCATGTGACTAAGGCTATTACAGTAACCTGGAAATGGGGGAGGGCAGAGATAGACCAACTAAGAGAGACAGAGAGGGAGAGAGAGATAAAGGGAGAGAGACATGCAGGGATCTCATAACAGAGCTGCAACTTCAGAGTATAAAAACCATCTCCCTAGAAGAGAGGACAAGAAAGTTCTTAGGCGAGCCCCTTCCTGTTTGACCCCCAGTAATGATAAAGTACCTGCCCTCTAAGCATGAGTGCCTGAGTTTGAACCCCTGAGAACCCATGTTCAAAACAACAACAAAACCAGGCAAGGTAGCACATATCTGAAACCCCAGTGTTTGGGGTTGGCAGACAGGTAGAGCCCTGAACCTTACCGGCCAGCCAGTCCACTGAGTCAGGCTGAGGTATATCCGTGTCCTGGTGGGCTATCGTTCAGTGAAAAAGAGCAAGCCGGTGGCACACAGCTGGGTGGAAGGGCAAATGCATTCTGCTAAATGAAAAGGGCTAATTACTCAAAGTTAAATACTGTCATTCCACTATATACAGATAGTCTCAGGACGCTGAAACAATAAGATGGAGGACAGAGCACTATTTCCTGGGTTCAGGGATACAAGGACACCATGACCACAAAGGACAGTATGAAAGACCCTTCACAGTGATGGCACTTCCTGTTTGTAGACTGGCAGGGCTACATAACTCTATATAGTGATAAAATTCCATGAAGCTACACAGCGAAGCCGTGTATTTAAGAGGTGGAGGCTGGGTAGGTAGTTTGGTTGAACTCTTGTCTAACACTCATGAAGTCCTGGGGTTGAGTCCCAGCAGCACATGTATCATGTGTTGTAGCCCACATCTGTCGTCCCAGCACTCAGGAAGTAGATACAAGAGTTGAAGAAGCTCAAGGCCACTTCCAAGTCTGAGGCCAGCTGACACTGTCTAAAAAACAGTGAAATGTATTGTTATAATTTGAATCTAAAAATGTTCCCCAAAGGCTCATGTGCTGAGAACTCAGTCCCAGACAGTGGTACCATGGAGTAAGTGGTTCATGCCAGCACTACCTTCACTGGTGGGTTAATTCACCGATGAGCTGGCTCTGAAAGGGCAGTTTGGAAGTGGAAACAAAAGCCAACTGAGTAGGCTCTGAGAATTTATCTTCTTCCCTGCTCCACCTCACTTTCTGCTCCCTGGAGGTCCTGAAGTGAACAGCTTTCTTCTCTGTTATCACAGGCTTCAAAGGCATGGAGCTCTGTGACCATGGACTACATCCATGAGCCAAAATAGATTTAAAGTTACATCAGTTTTATCACAGCAAAGAAATTCTGACTAGCATGCTGGGTGATTGGCCTGGGCCCCAGTTAATTCAGTTAAGTAAGATACCCGCATTGGAGAAGCTGAAGGAAGAGCACATGCCACAAGGGCACATGGGCACACCATTTCTGAAATGTCTAGACACTAATAAGATGGTTCCTAAATGGACTGGTTTTTGTTTGTTATTTGTTTGTTTAAGTATAAGTAAGAAAGCCAGCCAGCATGACTTCAGGGTTATCCATCAGGTCTTGATAATTTATTTGCCACTTATTTCCCTTCGAATGAGGGTTTACTTATGCATAATGTTGCGATATAGTCTATCTTGGTAGACTATAAACTTCCTCCAGTTCTCATCTTGTGATTTTTCTGACGGACACGTGCTGCTGAGCATGTCGGTAGGGGGCAGTTTACCCTGTGGGTGCATGTGTCATGATCAAACTGGGGCAGGGATCGTTTCTGTCCTCTTAGAGGTTACCATTTCTTTGTTTGGGGAATTTTTGAACTCTTCTAGGTCTTTATAACATACCTGACTATGCTCTCCTGGTAACAGTCCAGTTTCTTACCTCCTCTACTCTCTGTTCCCTCCAACCTCTGGTAACTGCCCTCTGCTCCCCCATGACCAATGCCTTTGTCTTCCACATGTGTGATGCTATGGTCTCTCTTATTTGGCTTGACATGGTGTCCCGGTGCCATCCATGTTACTGCAAATGACAGAACTTCACATTTTTAGGATTTAGTAATATCCACTGCGTGTACACACACCACGCTTTCTTTTTTCATTCTTCCTTCAAAGGACACCTTGTTTGGTTTTCTGTCTTTGTTATTGTGGTGTGTTGATTTGATTTCTTTGGAGAGCTATGTATCCATTCAGTAGCAGGAGGCCTCGGTAGTTCTATGAATACATTTGTGAGGGCCCGCCATACCGTTTACTGTGGCAACTGCGCCAGTTTGCACCCTGCCACCGGTGTGTGAAACTCTGCCTTCTCTGCGTCCTCACCAGCATGTGTCATCTTTGACTTTACTGGTAACAAATGGTCTGTGTTTAGCTGATATCGCAATGCACGTCTAACTTGCGTTTTCTTGATGACTAATGATATTTAGGATTACATCATGTTGGTCATTTATTTTTTGAGAAATGTCTATGCAGCTCATTTGTGCTTACAAATCTTATTTTGTTGTGTTCTCTGGGTTATTTCTATATTCTGGATATTAACCCCTTCCTCAATGCACATTTTGCAGATAATGCTCCTTCATACTGTTCATCTTTGCAGTGGGGGTCATACCTCAAACTAGATGTCCGACACAGGTGCTCCAACACCTTCTACCGTGGTTTATGTTTCCAGGAAGCTGGAACATTTTGAACTGGTTTTGTATCTTGTGAATGGTGGGGTCATTTCTCCAGTGTATGCTTCTGGTGCCTTTGTCAAAGTGCAATCTGCTGAGAGTGCGTGGTTTACCCTGCGTCTCTTATATCTCACGGGCCTGTGAGTTGGCTTTCATGCAGTGCCAGGCTGTTGCTATGGCTGTTACATGCTTTCGGTCAAGTATGTTGCCAGCTTTCTTCTCTTTGCTTGGTTGCCTTGGCTAGTTTGGGCCCTTTGTGGTAATATAAATCTAAATGTACTTATTATTCATCCTGGCTCTTTCTGAAATCTTCCACTCATTCAAGCCGATGGCTTTGCAATAATTGTTAGACATGAGGAAGTTGGGTAGGGAGGGGACAGGTACGGACAGTGACATTAAATGTCAGCATTAAAAGTATATATTTCTTTTTTATCTTTTAAAACTCCTCCTTCCCTTGTCAAGGACAATATCTGTAATGTTCAGCATTTGTTGAGTGAATTCCTGTGGACACAGTTGTGTGTCCAGAAGACAGTGTCCACTGAGCCCTTTCCTTGGGCCTGCCATGTGAGCAGCTGGTCAGAGCACAGCATTTTTATGCTTCCTGTGGTAGAGGTGGTGCTGCCACTGGACCTTCATGGTGTGGGCCTTCATGGTCTGCTTTTACACACGTCCTGGGAGGCGGTCAGTGTCCTCTACCCACACAAAAGAGGGTGAGGGTTCAGAGTATATAAGCTGTTCAGAGCCCTCACCTTGTTTGGGCACAGGCCATTCAGGAACCCAGAGTTCATGTCTGCAACCCTTTCTCTGTCTCCTCACACACACACTTCTTGAATGGGCTTCATGCTCGCAGATCACAGAGGAGATAATTGTATAAACTGTGGTTCATGAAACAAAATTAGCTGTCATTGAAATCCTCCTGCAGGGGTCTCTGTGACCATGTTCAGCAGAGTTATAGTCCATAAGATACAAAAAGGCAATTTAACTGAGTAGCTGGCCTTGGTTCCAATTTTGGGAGTCAGATCCTGAGTAGTTTATTTTAGGCATAATCAGCACAATTTTCTGATAATTAACTTAGTCTCATGTGCACAACAAAGCCTAATATA